GTGTCACCATTATTACCATTTGTGGATATGAATCTGAGTGCTTGGCGAGGCATGTTTAGATTATCAGCCTTTAAATTTTTTAATGTATTTTTATTTTATTTTTATACTCGTGTGTTTTCCTAATAAGTTTTGCAACTGGAAATCAACAAAACGCAGAATAAGCGGAGAGCATATTTCAACGAGTCCATTTCACATAAACTTCATCGATAAGGAAATAAAAGCTAACAAATTTAGAATCGCTTTGTGCTGACTTTGACTTTTTCGTTTGGACACACATATCCTATTTTGAATCTGCTAAAGTTTTTCAGACTTGCTGAAATGAGTCAAAGTGATCCAAAGCGTAGGGTTTTGTCTAATACGCTGAAAAACATTTTTCACTTTGTACTTTTTCTCAGAAATTTCATTCTCGATAAAATTAAAGACTTTTTTTATGTATTTCGTTTGAATTCACGAATGAAACACCTATGTTAATTTTTATAGAAAGTAACTTTAAAATTGTCAGTGATTTGGAGACTTTCAACTTGACTACTTTTTGCTTTAGAATCGAAAAGGTGACAATTTAGATAATCAGTATCCTAGCCAAAAACCAAGTGAGATGTCAAGCATTTAGTTGAATATTTTCTTAATGCATATGTACGCCTCATTAGCTCATTATTATAATAAAGCTGCTTTCTTTAAGCTTTAAATAAATTACAGCACGTCTCATTCCCAAACTGCACAAGTACCACCTTTTCGCCCCCCCTCATGTATTTATCAAGACCAATTAAATAATTTTTTATGACTTTGAGTACAATAAGAGCTGAGTGATGATTCCCTGACATCAAGAATTTTTATGCGCGAAGAAATGAAAAATTTGTTCTGAAGTGTTGACGCTTTATAGTGTTGAGGCACTGCTTATTTTTCATGTCTCCTACTGTAGAATAACCTGATGACTCTACAGTGGCACCTGAACTGAAAGGTGGTAGACGATAATTCGTCATCATCAGGATTTGGCGATTGGGTCCCCTAATCCCCAGTCGCCCTTTAAAGGGGGAGTATATAATGTATTTTCTCCTCCCTGACAGCATGCCGTCGTGGTGTAACGGTAGCACACTCGGTGCGTATTCGAGAGGTCCAGGTTCGAGCCCCGGTGAGGACATTGTTCAGTTTCCACGTCTCCAGTATCAAAATAACTAATGTTTATATATACAACCACTATGGCTTTAACTTGTCGTTGGTACATGCTCAGAGGCCGTCCGTTAAATAGAAAATAAGCGCTCCAGCGCCATCAAATGCATTGCATTTGATGAGAAAATAAGAGAATGAAGGACACAACTTCACTTCGATTCCATTGACCTTGTAAATGAAAATAAATACTGTTCGAGCTAGTTTAAAGTATTCACCGAACGAAGTGGGAAAGCTTGTGATATACAAGTTTGGAATTTGAGAGTTAAACACGGAGCGTCGATAGTATGAAGTTAAACTTCCATTTAATAACGCTGAAGTCTTTTGTATTACGGGGACCACGTTCACAATAGGCCACTGATCTAGCTGTATAATGAGTAAGGTATTCATTGGGTTCAAAATTGTGTATGGAATGTGTGGTACACATATTGGTGAGATACTTGCAACCAGATACGTTGAAAGCGGATGATTGTGCAGTCTTGTTCAGACGTTGAAACGCATAAATCAGTACGTGTTTATCTAGTTCTACTTTTCCTGTTGCGACATGGAGTTAAATATCTTGGTAACCTCTCTAAAGGGTTCGTCCTGCTGAATGACAGTGCGCGATCTCATGTTGTAAGGGTCATGAAGTAAAATTTGACGCCCTTAAATTTGAAGATCCTATTTCATGTTCCTCTGCGACTTTTTCATCTTCGATCCTCTGAAAGGACATCATTTCCTATCGGAGTGCGACCTGAAGACAGGATGGCCCTCTTTTATTCAGAAAGTAACGTATTTCTATGAGAAGGGCATTTTTCATCTGATGCGTCATGGTACAATCTAATACGTCAATGGACTTCGTGCCGGCAGTACTTTTTCAGAACTAACTGAACTTTGGGATCTAAAACCCTCAAAAAAATTATTTTATCATTTCTTATATTTACAATATATCGAAAATTTAATGAAAATATTTAAATGTGTATTGGACCGGTGAGGGGACAAATCCGCTGAAATAAATCTCTTTGAGCGTATTTATTTCCGATAAACCATCATAAATTTAATGAAATCCGTTTCACCTCTTTATAAAGCTCTCACAGATCTTAATGGAGTTTTTTTAAAGTTTATTTACAATGTGAGATGAAAGAACTTACACGTATTCTTCTGAAATCACTGCCAAAACGCCTATCAAATGTTTAAAAATTATTTTACATATACACAGAAAGCCAACTATTATCCATTTACTTTAAACGAAAGTTTAGATTTTTTTTTTAAAGGGAGAAATTTTTTTGGTGCTTTTTATTAAAAAAAATAAAAACTCCGATAAAGTTAGGCTGTCTGAAGTCGAATGATTTAGGTGGAGAAAAACAAACTATGTAAACAGGCGGAATAAATTATACTTTGTGCTTATGAAATTTTCCCACCTATTATTGTTTTCTTGGGTGTCTGTCTGTATTAGCTGAGTCTTTAAAACAGTCAACCAGGCGTAAACCTTTTGTTACCAAGACATCGTTTAATACAGAAGATTGTGAAAGCATATGTCACCACAGAAACTCTGTCTCAAGTTTTCTTTTTCTGATCATTTTATAAGAAATTTTATTCTAAACTAGATGCGGGCTGTTTTGGAAGTGTATTTATATAAATATATACTGTGTTAATATACAAAATTGTAAGGATGATAACTGAGAATTTTCATAGATTTGTTCTAACAGTCAGCTAACTTAAAGGTCAACTAACTTCTGTAATAAACGGAAACTGAATGTAATCTGAGAATACCGGTTAATGAATTCGGCAAAATCCTGGAAGCGGCGTAAGAATAAGACGGATTTTCCTTTTCATGCATTCGAAGTATTCCCCCTTGACTTGACACTGAAATTCACTGCGAAGCCAAGAACAGATTTTATTGTAATTGCCATGTGTACATATAGTGTTATTAAAGGAAAGCGAAACTTTTAAAATCAGTAAAAATTCCTTTGACAAATAATTTGTAAAAAAAAAAAAAAAAAAAAAAAAAAGTCGCAGCCAGAGGTGAAGCATACGAAATACTGGAATTAGCCAAGGGGTGGCTAGGAAAGTTCTACTTTTAGTTATGTTCCTAATTTTACTGAATAGTATTTTATCTCGGATTTATAACCAAATGTTATCCGCATAAGAGAAAAGTCAAATAAAATGCGGTATAATGTGTTATATAAAGTACTAGGAAATCTGTGCGATATGTTAGTAAATACCTGTTTTCGAAAGAAGTAGGTAATATTTCAGTAGCTCACTTAACAGAGAAATCCTTGGAAATATTCATAGAAACAAGCCACCTTTCTATGAATGATGATGTTAGTGATTCTGTATTGATAAAGGGGAAAAAAAAAAAAAAAAAAGGGGAAAAAAAAAACTGCATGATTTATGCATTTTAAACTAACTTTAAAAACATCTGTATTATTTTTTCATCATACTACAAGTAAAATGTCAAAACTATATTTTGAGAGCAGTAATTAAAATGTGAGTTCTTTTCGAAATTTCTAACACACTGTAGTATTATTTTGATGTAAAGAAACGTAAAAAATTTAACAGGTAAGGAGATGCAACTGAGAGCATCTCGGGAACAGGGGAGGAGTCAGGTTATAGCTTTTATTCCAGAAATACACCTAATTTTTAAAGACTTTATTTGGTTTATAATTTATATCTTCCTTTGATCAAGTAAATTAATTAATTTGAACCTGAAATGGACTTTATTTTGAAAATGTTCTCCTTTTATACTTTTTTGCTACGATTTTAAGTTTTATGTATTAATAGGAATTATAAATCATTGGTTATTTTTCCTTTTTTAAGCAAAAGAAATGCATAATCAAATGAGTCAATTATTTAATATAAAACGAAACAAACAAACAATCAAAAAGCATAAAGGTACATATTTCTGATCGTTTTCATTTAGCAATAAAAAAATGATTTTTTATTGCTAAATGAATAAATAAATAAAATAGTGACTGAATTACTTTTAACTTGATTTAGAATTAGTGATGAAGCATAAATTTGTAGATTTAGCACCTTTAAAGGAAGTACTCTAGGTATATGTTTGAGAATGCGTGAGTTATTATTGTTGCTTAAAAGGAAGTTCTTTAAACATTTTGAATTTTTTTTTTTTTTTTAAAGTGAAACGGTAGTTGTATGATATTTATGACAAATCAACCTTACCATCAAACTTTCCCATTAAAAATAAAAAATGAAAAAGCGAGAGAAAGGAAAGAAAAACAGAAGAGAGGGAAAAACTCTTACTTTCACTTTTCTTCCTTTCTTAATCTCAGCGCACAGACAACTAAGAGTTTCAGTCGCGCGACAATGGCTGGGTGCCGGAGGAAAACAGACGGAAATGACCGCGTCGTACAGATAAATCGCTCCACATGTTCATACGCATGAGTAAAGTTGCTCTGAAATATATTTAAAAATTTTCAATCAGTTCTTCGTATGTGTTTTAACTGCCTTGGCATAGTTTTGCACAAGTTGTTTTCTGCAGAGTCGCTATATGATGTTTACAAGCACATAAGTTAAGAAATGTGTTGGAGGTCAATAAAATTTTTCAAAATTTTAGAAGTAATCTTCATTATAATTTTGAGACTCTAAAATTAGATAAGAGAACTAAGCTTGGGAAGATATTACTTAAATTACTTATTATAAACTGTTAGAAAATTCATGAAATATTAAAATTCGTGCTTTAAATCTGTTAAATCTAGAGTGAGAATTAGAACAATTTTTGTGATAGTTATCAGCAAATTATAAAATGCACTTAAATGCCAGTAATATTTATAGCAAATAAGTGAAATGAAATGTGAACAGAACTATCATACTTAGGCTGCAATTCTGGTTTCGTTGCTCCATCCCAAACTTGTCATAATAATGCTTGTTACGGCCGAGGGTGGCTCCCGTGTAGTGCGCCGCATCCTTCTCTGACGTCATAACCGGAAGTATGTGTGTTTAACCAATGAGATCCAGCCGGTAGTCAGAACGTCACTATCACCCTTTAGTCTCGCAGCTGTGTTGGACGTGTGTCGTGAGGTGGGTCACAGTACATAGTAGAAGTGAGAGATGGTGAAGTTTGCGCTCTGTGTTTATCACTGAGCGCTTTGGAGGAACTATTTACATTCTTGGGGGCAAAGAGGATTGCTCAGAACAAGTGCTACGGTTCCGGCCTTCGAAATGGATTTGTTAGCTGGATATTTAGAAGGCCGGCGCTTGTGATGGTGCCAGGGCTCGGAAAGCAGCAACTTCGCTTGCGCTGCCATGGCCAACAGCAATGCCAACAGCTTTCTGCTGCTGTCTGGGCTACAGGAGTGGTCCACTTTACTCGCAGGTTGTGCCGCTCCACATCTCCGCACGGAGCTACAGTAAGCGATCTTACTATTCTTAGCATTATTTTCCATCAATTATTTTATATCCTGTGAAAAGCCTAACGTTGAAATGAAACTGGGAACTACGCGAAACATGCACTTTATGCGCGAAAAGACTGACTGAATTCTCTCGCTTATGAACGGTAAGTTAAAATGACAATTTTCGTCAAATGCCCTCTAAAAGTAAATGCCAAAAAAAAAAAGAGAGAGAGACGGAAATAAAAAAAACATTATTATTTTCCGTCTCGTGTGCCACCTCCAACTTGGCCAAAATTAGCTTAAACTTTGCGAAAATCTCCGTAGTTGAATTTATTTTACAAGTCGGCAGTTTTACTTTGCTAATCGCTGTTTGGTACTCCGCGTGTATTTCATTTCTACGTATGGTAATATTACCGATGTATGTATGAAATAATGAAGAATTATTTTACCAATTATATAATCGTAACGTTTAATTTTTAAAATAGTACTTTTTTTTAGGCTGAGAAACAGAAGTTTCCCCAATTCAACATGTTTACTATGTTATTCTTATTTATTCCTGTTACACCTATTTTATTGTCGGTAAATTTTCACTTGCCTAAAATTTGATACGTCGACATGTTTTGATGCTGGTATTAAAGCAGTATTTTGAGGGTAGGCATAAAATTATTAGTGCAAAAATTGTAACTTTTGAATGTCTCGTAAATGAGATGTATCTGTCAGTACTGTTGTTTATAGTATAATGATAGGTATTGGTTAATAATTTTAAATTTGTAACATTCAGGAGTAAATTCCTTATTTCTTAATTTTTATATATTTATATGCTTATGAAATAATGCAAAGTGCAGCAATTTTTTTCAACAAGAGCATGACAGTTCATATACTTATCTGTACATATTATAAATATTTGGTCCTTTATGAATGCATTTAGCCTTTAGTCTCTGTTTTATAGTTCCTAAATTTAAACTACCTTTACCCTTCAAAATTATTGTAATTTTTTTATGTTTTGAAAATAGCCATCTAAAAATAATCGTATGCATTTTCTCCATGCATTTGTTTATATGTTTCTTATCAGTAATTGCTTGTTATTGGGCAAATTATTTATTTTTATGAAACATCACCGAGTAGTAACAATCTCAAAAAAACTGCATAATTTCATATTAATTTGAACTGCATTGTTTGCACTTAAAATATAACTGTAAAATGAATCATTGTAATATTTCAGCTTGCTGAAACAAAAATTTTAATATGATGTGTTTTACTGTGATTACTTAAATTGGGACACTCTATCAAATATCCACTATTTTTTGCATTCTAATTATTAAATTTAATCAAATATTAGTATCAAAATGTCAAAAACCAAATACACTTTAACTGATTTACTATAATATGATGGCCAAATGAAACTGAAAATAAATGTTACTAGATGCTTGTTTTCTAGTGCAGGATTTAATGTCAGATAATTGTTGCTTGTACTGTACTGTTGTTTCTGTAACTGTGATCTTAAAAACTTGGGTATAAGTTACCAGTCTGTGTATTTATTTAAAATTTGCTTAAAGTAAGCTGCTGGTGTCATTAGAATATTTCTTCCTTCTTTCCTCTCACTTTCAAAAGTTTCAGTTTATCTTTTCTATCCTTGTGTTTCATTGTTCCATGGGAATTGTTGGCTGTGATGTTGCCTATGATTATCTTTTATAATTGTGTCAAAAGTAAACTTAGCATACACAAAAGGCATCTTTGAATATAGTATGCTACAGTAACCGCAAAAAAAAAAATTTTTTTTTTTCTTGAAGCTTCAATCGTTCCAAATTCATTATAGTCTGGTTTGAAATATTTAAAACAAACTGGAGTTTGATTGAGCAAAATGAAAATAAATTCTAAAAAAAAAAAAAAGAAAAAGAAAGAAAAATCTGAAATATCATGTTTTTTGCCCTGAAAGCATAAAATTCAGTTCAACAGCAATGTCACAAAATTTTAAAATGAGCATATCTTTAGAATTTCCGATACACAGTTACGCGTTGGGAGATTAAAAACGTCCTCCCCCTGTAGAGTGTTCCCCTTGCTCGCTTTTAAATCGTTGAGTTTGTTAATAAAAAATTCATTAAAGTTTTAAAAAATATGAAATTGATAATAAAACATATTTCAAATTTGGGCTTCCAGATCCCCACATTTGTGGTAGGATTGCATCATACAAAATTGGATGGCTCTAGGTACCATTGTTTTATCACAATGTGAGAAATATACATACATTTATGCAGATTTTCCATTGTTTAATTTCATCAAATATAATACAGGACAATAGTATTTGGTGGCAACTATTTGAAAAAGAGATACAGCCTTTTAAAGTTTTCAGCGCAAAACGAAAACAATAGCCCTTCAGGGACAAAGCCCCTTTGGACTAAAAATTAAAAATTATTTTATGTATTAAATGCTCATTTTTATTCTCCCCCCCCCCTTTTTTTTTTTTTTTTTTTTTATTCATACAGTTATCCTCTTTTTGTGCAGTTTTAAAGTTATGACATACAATACTTTAATTCTTTTCTTGAAAATAAAATTTTGATTTTGTTAACCCAATACCAGGGTGTCACTGATTTTAATCAGCAAATTTAAAAAAAAAAAATCATTAAAGAAAATCAAATCTTCTCCCCCCCCCCTTTTTTTAAATGATGAGAATGTATTAAAATCAAAACTTAAGGTAATTTGCCGTGCTTTTAAAGAGATTTTAATTACAGAGTACAGAAAATGGAAGCTTATGCAACTTACTCAGCAATAAAGTTTATGTAGTCTCATGCCTGGCTAGTCTCAAACATTAATCTGATGATGAGTGCACTAATTCAAAACATATAGTGAATGATTTAAGCAGCTATATTGTAAAAACATCTTCTGAAAAATCTAAAATATATCATCGGTAGGTAAATTTTTGTTACAAATGCATCAATTTATAAGAAAATCCTCATTCTCTATAATGAATGGGAAGGGATTTGGATATAAGCCCCCCACCCCATCTAAATGCAACTTAAAAATTATTAAGTGATATATATGCAGAACAAATAGAGAAATTTAGGTTAATCAAACATATGCATGATGCCAGATATTGATTGGTCTAATATCCTAAAACCAATAATCTCTATATGTGATGGACAGAGTCGTAGCTAGGGTTTTCAGTGCCCAGGGACAATTTAGTAAGTTACACAAATTAGCAATCAGCACATATTTGCTGAGTGTGTTCTAAGCATAGAAATTTTTTACAACTGCGGCATTTGTACTTGATGTACCTGTTCTTGGAATGGCCACGTTCATGACATCTGTACCTTTTAGTAGCTCAAGCCTATTCAGTAAGTTCAACTGTACCCTCATCTGGGAAAATGCTCTGAATATCCTGCTTGAGATTTCTAGGTAATGATGAACACTGAGAACGTCTATGCAAGGAATCATCAGCCAGATTACCACCCAAAAGTTTTAAAAACTCACTGCATCTGTTGCTGATTGATAAATTATTTGCGTGATATATTATTTGAGCATTTATAGCTGCTATATTCATCATACTATAAAATATGATCATAGGCCATCTGTTCGTTTTCCTGGCGACATTATAAGTGCTACACAACTGGTCAACAATATCAACTCCCGATTTAGTTGCATTATAAAAGGTTATCATCTGTGGCTTGCTTTTTTCTCATGTTTCATCAATTGCATCATCAGGTGCATAGTGGAGAGAATCAGAACCACCTTGTTTTTCTTAGAGTTGAGTCATTCTAAAATCCAAACAGTGATGTTCCTACTTCTCGATTCTTTGCGTAAACTCTGGAGGGATTTCACTCTTATTCTTCCTCGTGGTTCTAACCAAAGTAAGATTATTCTGAAGCAAACAATTAGCTAAATCTAATGAGGTATACCAATTGTCTACGGGTATATTGCGACCTGTTCCTGAGATTACAGAACTATGCCGTTTCATAACATCTGCTGGTTTGTTGCTAATTTCGAATGGACCTGCAGGCTACTTGCCAGCATATATTTCTAGGTTTACAGTGTAATACATCTTAGCACCTACTAATGCAAATAATTATATCCCATACTTACTTAGTTTACTAGTGATATACTGCCTCAAGAAACATTTACCTCTAAAATCTTCTAACTTTTCATCAACTGTACTGTACTCTCCAACTGAATAAGCATTCTTACAATTTTCCACAAATGAAGAAAACACATGACGTATAGGAGCTAAATTGTCAGTTTTCTTCCTTATTTCTCGTGTGTCCTTATTGTCAAACCTCAAACAATATAAAAGTAATCTAAATCGTTTTTCAGACATTATTAGACGGCATAACTCAATATGCATTTTATCAGAGGACCATATCTCCTTGGTATTGGCGTGATTATCTTTTCTAGAAGCACAAATGTATAATATGCCTAGAAGTGCTTTTATTTCAATTATGTCTGTCAAATGGCCATCCCTTTCCTGAGAATAATTTTCTTGTACTGTGGATATCTTTTCATTTGTGAATTTAACTATATTAGATAGCATGCCATTGTCGAAAAAATATGCCCAACATTGCTCCGGCATTTGAGCGTTCTTCGCGACACCCTTCACCCCTGGTAAATGAGTGACAATGTTATCTTGCTGAGTGCGTATATTTTTAGGTGGGTAAAACTTTTGACCATTTTAATGATTTATTCCGGCCTAGGAAATAGTTATTCGCAATATAACCATCACTATCGCTGTCATTGGAGTCTATTTCTTGCTGTGTTTTCTTCTCTTGTTTCCACTCTATCTTCTTCTGTATCACTATAATCATCTAACTTATCACCTGATTCATCTTCTTCCATCAGCATACGTAGTACTATTTCTCTATCACGTTCATTTGCCATATTGAATTTTTTCTGAGAAGTCATCTTGACTCTAAGGGTAAGAAAATAAGTAATAAAAATATTCTTGTCCATAAAAATTATAAATACCAGAAGAAATGCATTATTTTTACATTTAGAATTAAATATATTCACAAACAATTTCTCTTATCTAT